TTGCTTTATGAATCATTATTCATATAGTCTCATTGCTGGCATTTAGCGATTATTATAATTTCAGTGACAAGAAAGCTCATCCGTATGGTTCACTTAGAATTAGAATGTAGAAATGGGTGATTTTTAAATTTGACAAAACCTGCGGTAATTTCAGCCCACATCGTTCGGCAAATTTTCATATTCATCGCAATAAGTGAAAATTATTTTCTTGACGATATGTAAATGAGCTTGATGAGACTGTTGTTTCATTTGCTGGTTACGTTTTTGCAAGATGCGATTCACATGCCTTTTCATGGTTGGGGGAACAAGCGAACTCAACACGATAATTCCACTACGGAGTGTACTAATACACTAAATTTGTTTTGAAAATGACTAAACTGTCTAATTTATCCTCTCCACACTCCGTACAGATGTGACTTTGCATTGGTATGAAACTTTGAAAGCCTATCAAATTTCGAGATATCCAATAAGAAAATTTTCATGAAATACCAATAACGGAAATGACTATTTGAGAACATCTTTCGAAGCGATAAATGCAATGCGAACTTTTTCTCACAACTTTTATCGTTTGTTCGTTTAATTTGAATAACGAGAATCCCAAGAATTTGTTTCAATTTGAATCATTGATTGTTTCATCCATGCTGTTAATGTACATATTTGTGAGGATGTAGATATGTATGTTTGTGCAGACAAAACGAGAATTGCTCGCAGTAATTTATGATGTGAAATTGTATCTTTGACCGTTATTATTGTTTAAAAGTTTACTGAACAATACAATTTCTATCGAAATACAAAATATTTCCAACAAAAACAACGCGATTACAGAATCGAAGAGAATGCAGTAGGCTCGCAACAAGTGGTTTAAACACAAATTTGGCTACACTGTAATAACAAATTCAGAGATGCGCACTACTCTTTCATGGCTAAACACCGCGAAACGTGAATTGCAGACAATTGCACTTCCAGATTTGAATAGGCATAGGCTTGGCTGAGGTTTTTCACTGAGAATCTCTTACTATTTTAACATTCACAAAGAAATGATTGAAAACATAGGAACAATTGTTCGTTTCTAATGCAACAAAATAACATAATTATGAATATTCCTAAAAAAATGCGACAGACAAATATTAACTATACTATTTTCAAACAAACGACTGACTATGCCAGTCCATTCGGAACCACGGAGCACTAACAGTTATGGAATCAATCAGTGCTCGCCTGATTAGGCTCTATGAAGAGAATGGCGATGTTTATTCCTTAACGAGCCCTTTCGTTGTTTTTCTTTATGAAGAAATAGGACTAAACACTTGGACATTTGAAAGAAGTACCAAAAATTTTGTTACTCCTAGTAACTGTCGATTGAATCATTCGAAAGAGCGACGATTTCGAAAGCGACGAATCTTTTTTCTCTCTATGGTACTTCTAGTTCAACACGTTTTTTTTTCATAGAAAAAGTACTTCTGATTCAACACGTTTGTCTTTCAGTCCATGCAGTAGTTTACGGTAGAGGAAAGGAGAAAGGCTTTCACTGATGTGGAAGTGCGTTGATGGAGGATATGCTGAAGTTGTCCGGGAAAAGTTGACGAGCAAACGGAAGCATCAGCTTGTAGGTCAGTTTGACGGTCGTTTCGGCTGCTCCGGCTATGGCTCCAATTTCTGCAATAGCAAAAAATCATCGATGGATGTTCAACAACGAAATGATTAGCATCATACATTCATACTGCCAAAAAAAAACCGAAACGCATTGGATTTCTTACGAAACGCCTAGAACATTGTATCGAGCTCTTGATCAATTGATCAATCAATTGCACTCATGAAATATGCCAACTACAATAAGTCAACTACCTTTTGCATTTCGCTTCTCGTTAGCGGATGCTTGTGATGCCATATAAATTGCCGCTGCGGCTATTGAAATGGGACTTCTCCTTGAATAATGCAAAAATTTCAGAAATATATCTATTCGTCCCCTAGTCGAAATGAATTTGAACAGTTCATTTTGAATAATTCCCTCAGTTCACAAATCTGACGTTCGAAGAGATTGACGGATTTGTGGAGTGAAAATGACGGCAGTTCGTCATCAGCTTATCCTCGTTGTAATATCATACATCAGTTACGTTACATATTCAACTTTGCTATGTAAGAAAGCGACATGGAGTGGATTTAAAAGTACGTAGTGCAAATTCCGGTAACGAGAGGATTACCCGGCAACGAGATCCTTTTCAACAGCTTTTTTTGCGATTCGTGTTGCGATCATTTGCAAACGGTGTGACAGTCCGAGATTACCACAAAATCGGGACTGAAAACACTACGATCACGATAAACTTCTCAATTCATATCAATATGCTGATTATTGAAATTGAAAGCAACGAGGAAGCAGAAAATTAAGAACTTTAACAAACCATAAAGTCAGCGCTAGTGATTTGTTCCAAATTTGTTTCCAAAGATCTGATCGCTAACTTGAAACAACGTCCGATTTCCTTCTTAGAAACCCTCGAAACAGCGCAAACCTCTGAAAGTTCGAAACATGTTGTTGGACTAAGCACAGTCATTCTTGCACTTTTGCATTTGTTTACAAATTTATGCTTTCCGTTTACAATATTCAACTATGCGATTAGCATATGGCGCTGAGATAGTTTCACTCAAAAATAGACGACCTTTGAAAGTTCGAGGGACGCCTTCCTTTCTGCAGGCAATATACAAACAAGCAGCAGCTTTCGCTTCATCGTTTTTACCGACCAGTGCTCTTGTATCCACTACGTCCTTGAACACCTTGGCGGCTATATCCTAGAATTGCACATCATTCCTATGCAACACTCGGCACACAACCCACATCAGTTTACGATCGAAGAAGTGAAGACCATACGATTATATCAGTGGTTCACATAGGGGATGAAATTACCCATTTTGAGTAATTTTGAGTTGTGAAGGGGTAATGGAGGAGATCGGGAAGTTAGTATTTCGTGCAATTTT